GAAATCCCTCATTTTTCTGGTTACTATCAGGATCCCGCACTAACCCCTTTGCAACAGCTGAGGGCAGGTGGCACATCTGAGAGCTGTTTTTCTGGGCTATGTGTAGTGTTAGCAGACATTGATGAGTCACATTTTAGGCTTCCAAAGGGTTTTATTTTTATCACCACATGAAGAGCTGGAGAACCTTGTGTAAGACAGCAGCTTCGTGCCTGAGCAATTTGCATTGAGGAGCTCTATCTAACACAAGAAGTCTACTGGCCGATCAGGGGCAAGGCACTCCTAGACTTGGTTCTGGCCAAAGGGGACGATATCGTGAGCAACCTGAGGATCGAAGGGAAACTGGGCAACAGCGACCATGAGATGATCACTTTCTCCATCCACCATAAGTCAGGGAAATTGGCCAGTAAAGTAAAAATCCTTGATTTTAGGAAAGCTGACTTCTACAAACTTAGGGGAATGATTGTTGAGGCCCTGCGGGACCATGGTCTGATGAGGAAGTGGGTACAAGAAGAGTGGTCATTCCTCAAGGAAGCGATCCTAAAAGCTCAAAGGAAGCCCATTCCCTTTCATAAGAAAGGCAGCAAAAGGGCTGGGAGACCCCCTTGGCTCAACAGGGAAGTCATGGACCTCCTGAAATTAAAACAAGAAGCCTACAAAGGATGGAAGTCAGGAATAACTATCGAAGAGGAGTACTCAGCAACAGCCCACACCTGTAGGGAGCGGATCAGGACAGCAAAAACACAAACTGAATACAGATTGGCAACCAGAATCAAGGACAACAAAAAGTCCTTCTTTAGATATGTAGGAAGTTGGAGAAAAAATAAGGGAAGCATAGGGCCCCTGATGAATGAAATGAAATGGCTGATAACTGGCACTCAGGACAAAACTGAACTCCTGAATAAATACTTCAGTCCAAGGGTGTTAGCCTGCTTGACAGGATGATCATGGTGGGGTGACCACCCCTCATAGTTGGTGTAGATCTTGTGGGGGAGCACCTACAAAAGCTAAATATCTACAAGTCAGCAGGACAAGTCACTATGTCTGGGGGTGCTGAAAGAAGTGGCTGATGTAATCGTGTGACCAATGGCAAAGTTATTTAAAGACTCGTGGTGCTCGGGAGAGGTCCCAGAAGATTGGAAGAAGGCTAACGTGGTGCCTATGTTTAAGAAAAGGAGAAAGGAAGACCTGGGAAATTACAGGCCAATCAGTTTCACCTCAATCCCTGGTAAAATCCTGGAGAAAATGATCAAAGAATCCGTTACATACAGGCTAGCAGAAGGCAGTATTTTGAAGACTAGCCAATATGGCTTCGTTATAGGCAGGTCATGCCAGACCAACCTATTTTTTCTTCTATGATCAGGTTACTTGCCACCTGGATGGGGGAAATGTGGTTGATGTAATATACCTGGACTTCAAAAGGGCCTTTGACCTGGTCTTCCATGAAGTCCTCATGAAAAAATAGGGAAAATGCAGCCTTGACTACTTTACAGTCTGGTGGCTAGGTAACTGGCTCCATGGTAGGACCCAGAGAGTATTGATTGACAGAACTGAGTCATCATGGCAGAGGGTGACCGGTGGCATCCTTCAGAGTTCAGTACTTGGACCAGTGCTTTTCAAGATGTTCATCAATGATTTGGATTCAGGTATTAAAAGCAAACTAGCAAAGTTTGCTGACAATACCAAACTATGGGGGAGTGTGGTTACACTTGAAGACAGGCTGGCAATACAGGCCGACCTGGACAGGCTCATGAGGTAGACGGACCTCAACCAGATGTTGTTTAATATGGAGAAATGTAAAGTGCTCTATCTGGGGAGAAATAATCCACAACACTACGCATGCCAGCACCACATCTGAACGAGACCCGGGTGTCGTGCTAGACAACAAAATGAACATGAGCCATCAATGCAATGCTGTAGCTGGCAGAGCTAATCAAACACTGGCATGCATTTACCAAGGCATCTCAAGCAAGACTAAGGATGTCATCCTCCCTCTCTACTTGGCATTGGTGAGACCACAGCTGGAGTTCTGCATCCAATTCTGGGTGCCGCGCTTTAGGAAGGATCTGGAGAAGCTCAAGAGAGTCCAAAGGAGGGTCACGCACCTGATTAGAGACCTAGATACCAGGTCATATGAGGAGAGGCTGAAAGACTTGGGACTGTTCAGCCTGGAGAAGAGAAGACTCAGAGGGGACTTGGTGGCAGCCTATAAGTATATCAGGGCCCGGGGGAGCATCTGTTCACCAAGGCCCCCTAGGGGAATACAAGAAATAACGGGCACAAGCTGATTGAGGATCATTTCAGGCTAAACACAAACACACATAAACAAACGAAATAAGCAAAAAATAAACAAAAATAAACACTTCTATCCTGCTTCTGGATGCCAGTTGCAGGGTCCCCCTTGTAGTAGGTTCTTTGGTATGTTTTGACATAGAAACAGAGTCAGGATAACGTCAATGCTGCATACAGTTGTGAATTGCTAAATAGGTAATTACCTTTATTGTAAGCCTCATACTGAATTGGTGTTTTTGAGCTTCTCCATTGGATGCACTGAGATACCTCAATGGTTTGCTTCATCTGTGTTGTTCAATGGTAGTAAAGTCTCTACACAGAGTTGAGACTGGTCCAGCATGAAAACTGTGTGCCAGGAATCCAGTTCTCTTGCTTCAGAGTACACATAGCATATAACAAAGTTGGTGGGACTAGCCTGTGGCAAAAAATTGGACACTGGCTCTGTGACTACTTAAGAGTTGAACATAATACAAGTGTTCATGTGCTTTCTAGGCTATTTTTGGAGGATCAGGCAGCAAAATATTTTAAACCACACTCATGCACTAGAATCACTTTCTCAAACAAAACAAGATGATCTCTCAGGACTGATCTTTCTTAGTTGTTTCTTCCCCATTTTAACACCACTCCTTTCTCCACAGGCTGAGAGTCAGACTCCTAACAGCGACTGTAGAGTAGACATGTCCTAGATACTTTTAAGTAAGCAAGCTCAGGTACTGGTATCAGTCTAGCAATAGCAGCAAAGAGCTCAATGCAGGTTGCAAAATATGCCTGAGAAGCCAGGTAGATTAACCTGTGCTGAGTTCTATGATATTGTGGCTACTACCACCCAAACTAGCTTGGCTATGTGCAGTGATGCTCAATCTTTTGGCCCTATGGGTCAGATCAGTGGTGCTGGGCCCATCAGCAGGTTGGATCTTGGGGGTTAATGCCCAGATGGGGCTCTGTGTGGCTGGATCAGGCTCCATGTCAACTTGGCCCAGCCCTGTGAACCTGGACTGGGCTCTGTGCAGCTGGATTGGGCCCCACACTGCCTCACATTGGCCCTATTTGCCTCCATCAGACGCCATACCACCTTGCCTTTATGCACTTGATCTAGCATGCAGACCCATGCTTTCCAGCATGTGGGGCTTCCCACAGGTCAGAAATCTGGCAGCAGAAGAGTGGCAATTAAAGTTGCTCTGCTCCCCCACCACCGCATTTTCATGTCTGTGGGGAGCTCTGTAGGCTGGATGACATGGCTATACAGGCCAAATCTAGCCCATGGGCCAGGGGTGAGCACCCTTGGCTCTGTGTACCTTATACTGTAGTCCCTACGTGATCTGCAGTTCAGTTTATTTCTTGAGGTGATACTTCCCCTCTATCGGGCGCTAGTCAGACCGCAGTTGGAGTACTGTGTTCAATTTTGGGCGCTGCACTTCAAGAGAGATGTGCATAACCTGGAGAGGGTTCAGAGAAGGGCCACTCGTATGGTTAAGGGCTTGCAGGCTAAGCCCTAGGAGGAGAGACTGGGGCACCTGGACCTCTTCAGCCTCCGCAAGAGAAGGTTGAGAGGCGACCTTGTGGCTGCCTATAAATTCATCACGGGGGCACAGAAGGGAATTGGTGAGGTTTTATTCACCAAGGCGCCCCCGGGGGTTACAAGAAATAATGGCCACAAGCTAGCAGAGAGCAGATTTAGACTAGACATTAGGAAGAACTTCTTCACAGTTCGAGTGGCCAAGGTTTGGAACGGGCTCCCAAGGGAGGTGGTGCTCTCCCCTACCCTGGGGGTCTTCAAGAGGAGGTTAGATAGGCATCTAGCTGGGGGCATCTAGACCCAGCCCTCTTTCCTGCCTATGCAGGGGGTCGGACTCGATGATCTGTTGAGGTCCCTTCTGACCCTAGCATCTATGAATCTATGAATTGACTCATCTCTGTTCCTAGTACACTTCACTCTTGACCCTTGGATTTATGATTCTATATATTGAATCCCCTTTGCTGAAGTAAAAGCATTACAGGATTATTTTAGGAGTAAAGCTTTATAAAGGAGACTTGTTCACATTTTATTTCTATTTTTTCCAATGAACAAGAGTATATAAATGTGTTTGTATATTGGTTTGGCCTGGTGAGGGTCCTTTAGCAGAAGTGACAAGATTAGAAATGAGATGGTTTCCCCAAGACTATGGCTCTGTATGCTACTTGGTTGTAACTTGAATATTGCATTCAAAGCAGTTAAACTTTCAATAACTGCATTCATAAGATTCTCTGAAAACCAGACACAAATGCTTTTGATGCATTTAAAGGAAATAAAGACAGTAAAAGCATTTCTCTTGAAATGAGAACTTGTGCGATGTCTAAACTGTAGGACCGCATGGAAAGAAAATGTCCTTCCCAAAGAGACCCAAGTACAATATCATTTTAATAATCCTTGTGTAGCCTGACTTAGATTGAATAGATTAACACCTTTCTCAGTAAAATTTGGGTTTAACCAGATTGAGAGCACCAATTTTGCCCCAAAATAATTAAATTAAAAAAGAAATTGTCTTTTGGATATTTTCTATCATCATAACACAACAAGACAAATACTGTCTTACTTCTCAGTTAAACCCAGAGCCATTCATTTGATGTGGAACTGAAAGCAGAGCATGGGCCAGCATCTATGTAAGCATTTGACAACTTTAAATGCGAATTACGGGTTTCCAGCAACAGAGTGGTTTTGAAAAAGTGGCTGGAGAAATAATCCAACAGTCCCCAGGACACAAACAAAGACAAATATCCAAAGAAACAGTCTGTCCACTACCATGGCAACATATTTCCAATCTTCAATGACCTGGAAGAAAAAGCCAATTAAAGATAATTAGCAATTTGTCATATTCAATTCCCTCTCTCTTGCTGCTACTTAATCTTTGCTATTTGTGTGCAAAAAGAAGAGGATAGCAATCTCAAGGGCAGGTTACAAGACAATCATTTCACAGGTCAGGAAGGAATTTTCTCTGTACTGTCTAGACAGTTCTAGAAGGGCCTGGAAATATTTTTCAGCTTCCTCTGATGCATCAAGTGCTGGCTGCAGCTAAATGCATGGTGCTAGTCTGATGGACCTACGGTATAATCTAGTCAGGTAAATTCTTGTTTGTGAATTTTAATATGGTGATATTATTATATCAGTTTAATTGTGGTAAATATTGTCCATCCCCATTATGAATAGAGCACTGCAACTGATCTTGATTCTCAGTATGCTTTGATTTTAGTAAAGTGGAAAACAATTATTGTTTTCATATCCATGTCAATTTAGGGTCAGTCCTTACATACATTTCTTAAATTGCAGGCATGCACACACGCATGCTTTCCCCATATATTATACACACTGTCAGTTTCTTCCTGTGTAACTGACCTTAATGACACACAGAACATCTTCCCCTTGATAGCCTTACAAGTACTTCCCAGTTATCTCATTCCTTGTACTATCCCATTTATGTGTGTTTTCCCTTTAGTACATGTCCACTTTAGCCATACAGTGTAGGTATGTGAACAGTTGTTATCTGACAGTCACAGTAATAAAAAATCAGAGATTATAATTCAGAACATAGAAAACAATGGTATGTAGCTGAGCTTTTTACCTAATATCAGATGACCTACATGCAAAAGGCATTACGTTAATTTCTAGCTTGCAAATACCCATGACAATTTCTCTTTAGTCTCAAATGAAACAGGGGTTTTGTAAATCCTTTAATATACAGTGCTAGCTCTTGCAAGACTTCCTGTCTTTTGCTTTTTCAGCACAGTACAGCCTGCACCTATATCAAATTTATTGCAGTCTGTGTAACCTTACCTCTGATGTCATAGATTTAACAGCTCATCTTCCTTATTTACATTGACCAATAACACTTTAGTTGAAAAACACAAAAAAATCACATAGATGGAGGACTAGATCCTAGAAGACTTTCTTGGATCGGAAGCTAAAAAAGGAACCAGGCTTCCAAAAGTACTAAATTGATTGATTAACAGCAGAGGAGAAAGGAGTACAGAGCAGCAATTGAGGATCTAGGGCTAGATTGGAAGTAGGGGTACAGCAAGGTCACCTAGGGAATATGTATAGGTGTCACGGTAGGTTTCTTCAGCCATAGGTGCATATCTGGATTTAACACTGAACCTTTGGACTTTGCCAAACATTATTCCATAAATATTTATATGAAGGTGAATGGTGTGTCTCTCTGTAGGCATAAGAGGGAAGCAAAACTGCTCAACTATGCATTTACTACTAGCCTAAGGAATGTCACCTTCATCTCATGTGAAATAAGTGTCAACTTCTGCAGTATGAGGATCTTCATTCCATCCTCACTCTTGCTAGAAAGGTCTGAATGGCCACAGTTAGCAGCAGCAGGATGTATAGGTGTCTCACCTCTTTGAGAACTAATTGATATAGGGCAATCTTTATTCACTCAGTATGTTCACAGGAGTTTGCAGCAATTTAACCAAGTCATTTTCTTTCCCCCTTTAGTTAAATCACTGTACAAACTGTTTGTAGATCAACTTTCAGGTAAGTCTCACTCTGGCCAGGCCCAGTCATGCTTTGCTCAAGGCTGAGTTACAGACATTCCCTTTATTGTGGGCTTCATTATAGTCTTGCCAAAATCAACAGGAAAAAAGCATTTGAATGTGCTGCCCACCTCCCTGCCCCAGTCTGAGGTTGAATGTTAAAAATCTCACTGCTGCATACTATTTGGAGGGCTGGACATGCTATCACATCTCTGATATAAAAACAGTTTGCTTCTTTTCCCTTTCCCTGAGCAATACATGTGCTCTGTTTGTAGAGATGGGGTTCCTGACTGGCTGGCACCGTGCTTTTCAGGACACTTTTTTCTTTTCAAATGACTATTCACAAGTCCATTTTCTATAAATTTCCTTTTAGTAAACAGTAGGCACATCTACACATGCAATTCATGCAACTGAGTCTACTCTGGCTCAATTTGAGACAGAGTAAACTAATCCTGACGTCACTGTGTACATGGGCATTTAAACACACTAATTTACTGTGCTGCTGTATACCACTTGTATCTGCAGCAAACTAATTAGTCTGTTGGGCCCTAATTGCTATGCACGTGTAGATAATAATGCTTTACTGCGCAGCAAATTAGTCTGCTGCACAGTAAAGCATCTTGCGTAGATGCACCCAGTGATAACTTATGGGAAACTAATACATAAATAAAGAAATAAATTATATATAAGGCCTGTGTGAAGTGGCAAGTATTCACTTCGGATTCGGCCAATTTGGAGGACAGTGATTCAATTTGGAGATTTGAATAACTGTCCTGATTCGATTCAGCCGAATCAAATCCAAAAGATTTGGCACCATTTCAGAGATTTGGCCATAGACTAAACATATAGCTGACATGGCTGTAAGTCTATTGGGGTTGGGAAGGGAGGAGGGAAAGGGCATGGGGGAGGGAAGGAGTGGGGCTGGGACAAACCACCCATCTAGGGTGGGGGGGCACATTACTTGGGGAGGGGGGCGAGAGGGCGTAGGATGCGGGCATGGCAGCACTCAGAGTGGGGGCTCTGCCCTGCTGCCGCTTGCCCAGCCGGAGAGGAGCTTGCCAGGGGTGGGGTGTGATGCAGGTGCAGAAGCTGTGAGAGCAGTGGTTATTCCCTGCTGCTGCTTGCCTCCTTTCACCCGGAGTGAGTTGCACCCGGATCCTGCCCTCCCTCTCCCCCCCACCCCGGGTCCCCGTTCTGAGTGCTGCCACAGCTGTGTCAGATGCCTGTTTAGCCTGTGGCCAAATTGCTAAATCTTTTCTGAATCTATTCAGATGCTTCAAATTAAATTGGTCTCCTGATTTGATTCGATTTGGATTTGGAGATTTGGTCTCTGAATCGGGTTGAATCTCCTCTGAATCAAATCGCCTACTGAAGTTTGGTACAGCCCTAATATATATAAACCCTTAGTCTGTCTGTCCATAATGCTTTATTCACACTCTGATTGGCTGTCTCAGCAGCCAATCAGAGTGCTCCAAGGGTGTTTCAGCCAGCAGCAGGCAGTGTGGAGGAGCGCTGCCAAGATGGCAGGGACAGAGGGGAGTGGGAGAGGTGGCGGCGGGGGCGGGGCCCAGCTCCAAAGCGGTGGGGTCTGTGGCAAGGGGGAAATGAGGTCAGGCGCACTGCAGGGAGGGTGAAAGGGGGGAGTGGGCCTGGACCCGAACCACTGGTGGGGAAACAGGGTCAGGCCTGAGGGGGGAGGGGCCAGATGAACACGGAGGGAGTAGGGCCGCAGAGCCGAACGCTGGGCTCTGTCCCTGCTGCTCCCCCGCCATCTTTTTTGACAGGCAATTTGCTAGTGTGTGTGTGTGTGTGTGTGTGTGTGTGTGTAAGAATAATAGAAAATTAGGGTTGGAAGGGACTGGAGGATGTCATCTAGTCCAACTCCCTGCTCAAACCAGGACCATCCCCAACTAGATCATCCTATCCAAGGCTTTGTCTAGCTGGGTCTTAGACCTCCAGGATGGAGATTCCACTACCTCTCTGGGTAGCCTTAAAATTAAGGTTGGTTGGATGGATTTTTCTTTCCTTTTTTTTGAAGAAGGACACAGATATTTAAAACATCAAATAAAACATAACAACCTTGGAAAAATTGAATTATTTCTCCTTTTACTTACACTCTGGTCATTGTCATCACTTTTCATGTGGTCTGCTATAAAACTGACCCCCTCAACTGCTTCTTGGACTTCAGGAGAAAACTTTGTTGAAGATCGCAACCTGAAATCTCGATGGCTACTGATGTTATCAGGATTCTCTGTCAATTTCAGATCATACTTTTTGGCAGAGGCAATGTTCACAAAATAGGTGGAGCTCTTATACAGGTCGGCTGGATCAGCGCACAGGTTCTCAGATCTAGTCTTTCTGCGACTGCATAACCTTTGCCTTGCAGAATTATTCTCTGGGCGCCTCATGAACAGGTATGTTGGAAGTATCTCAAGGAAAATCAGCTTTACCCATGGGGGCATAGTGTGCGTACTGGGAGATCTGTGATGGACATTTAGTACGCAGACACTGGTAACTATTGAGAATGTCACTAGTACCATTGTAAACATCAGATACTTTCCAATCAATGGAACATCCAGTGATGTTGGAGGGACAATTTTGGAGATCAGCAGTAAGAACACAGTCAAAGCAAGCAGTACAGATATGCATAAGGTCATCTTTTCACCGCAGTCAGAAGGCAAGTAGAACACCAGGATGGCCAAGGATGTAATTAGCACACAAGGAATGATAAGGTTGATGGTATAAAAAAGAGGTTTTCTTTTAATAATAAAATCATATGTCACATCAACATAATTTGGATCCAAGGGGTTTACAGTTCTTCTTCCAGGGAGTGCTATAATGTCCCACTCTCCACTGGGTGTAAAGTCATCCATGCTTGCCATGGATGTTTTAAGTACCATATCAATCTCTGTGTGATCATATGTCCAAGACCGGAATTTTAATGTGCAATTTTGTTGATCAAATGGAAAATGCTTCACCTCAATCTTGCAGGCACTCTTGTAGATGGCTGGTGGCAACCAGAAAATGCTTCCATTGTTCTTTACAATTGCATTTGTATACAGGGAGACTTCATATGTGCCATCCGCACTGTAGAAATGGGAAAGAAAAAGAAGAAAGAGACTGCATAGGGTAGAATCTAGGTTCAAAACTCAGAGAAAGACAATCTCCTGGATTCTCAGCCCCCTCTGCTGAATCCAGAATCATGGCACAATTACTGCAAAAGTTTTTATGAATGGTGACTGAAATTTAACTGTTTCTAATAGTTTAAAACCTGACAATTACATTTTGATACATTTTCTTAACCTAAAGTATTAATATTTTCTCCAATATTTAGGTAGAAGTAATAATGTTAATGATGATCAGCGAATTTGCACATCTGTAGCTTGTTTCATCCATGACCACAGAGCACTTTTCAAACATTAATTAATTTACCTGAGCACCACTATATCACTAAGGGCTAGCAAAGATGAAATCAGCCATTGCTGAAATGCAGCTGTCATTGATTTAGAACACAGCCATTATATAATGGCTCCCAACAACACTACTAAAGGTTTTAAATCAGGAAATGAAAATGAGTTTTATGCTTAGTTGAAAATAGAGGGAGAATGTAGGCAAAGAAATGTAATTACATGAGTTATAATTTAGTCAGGATGCTGTGTTTATTGCTCCTCCTCTTACAAAGAGAATGCCACAGGATTTTTAGTGCCCACAAATGGCCTTGGGTTTGTGTCTTAGTTAAAAGATTGAACTTCCTAAAAAATACCATCTTCCTCCCTCTTGGTGGGTTGCTGGTTTACTGAAAAGAATCTTGCCAACTGACCAATTGACCCCCATTTCCTAAAGCAGTCAGCCTTCCCTTGACAGCTTGAATACTGCTTAGCTTATGATTTGTGTAGAGACAGCAGTGCAATAGGGCATGACAGCAAATAAATATTCTTGAAAGTGTAATTATCCTGATACAGTTATTTTAACAATCTCTTTCACTAAACCTTAGTTTATTTTGCTTAATTGTGTCCTTTTTTAAGACAGGCAAGGTTCTTTGGGTAGATGTGATATCTTTTATTAGACCAGCTAAATAGTTGGGAAAAATTGTTCTTTGCAAGCTTTTGGGCACAAACACCCTTCTTCAGGTGTAGGGAGAGTCTGGTGAATGGTGTGCTCTCCTGGGTAGAAGCCAAAATGCAGGTCTGTGAAAATGCAAATATGTGGCAGTGAGGATCAATGGGGTGGAAGACAATAGATGTGAGGCAGATTGGAGGGCAGGGGTAAAGGGGGAATGTTGAACTGATGATAGAAGAATATAGCTGGTAAAATGCAGACAGGTTATCTGGGGTTATCCTTAAGGCAATACTAGCTTAAATAGTATTTACTTCTAAATTTGACTAATGCTGCTATTGAGGACACCGTCAGACTAGAAGGAGCAACTATTTATCACCTTAGTTTTTAGTAAAAAAGAAGCACATGAACAACATCTTGAGTAGGTAACTTTTAATAAAGCAGGTTAGTCATATTTTAGAGTTAGAAGAGAGCAAAAATGGAAGAGAACATGTCTAGACTACTGTGCTCTTCACTTTTGTATAGTTTTCCTCTTTTTTAATGTTTAAATATGGACCATAATAAAAATTACATATTATGTAAAGGCTATATATCTCATCACAGGATCTTTCAGGGTGCATGCAGATGTTTGAGGAGGTTAGACCACATAAAAAAATTAAAATATTAATTCAAAATGGCCCTCTGATCTAACTTAGTTCACCCAGGTGAAGACCTAGCACTTAGGGTACCTGTACACATGCCCAATGCCTGCTCCAACATGTTCTAATTAGAACACATCAGAGCAGACTCAATTAATTGAATCTGCAAGTGCGTGCTAATTAGCATGCTCTAGCAACCTCATTGTCACATGTATTCAGCATCCGTGTACTTCAAAATAGTTGCAGGGGCGCTCTAACTAAAGCTCATAGAAGGAGCTTTAGTTAATGTGCCTGTCACCATTTTGAAGTGTGGGATGCTGAATACACAAGATGCTGCCGGTGCTTTAATTAGAACGGCTCCTGAGAGCCCCTCTAATTTAAAGCACCCTCCCCTTTCCCCAGAGCATGTGTAAAGATGCCTTTAGATCCCTAGTTAGGTCAATCTAAGTGCAAACTGTACAGAAATTCAGGACAGTTAGATCAGTCTAAAAATGGATGACTCAATCTAAGTTAACTATACCTCTGAGGTAGTCCAACTTAGACTGGGTCCAGCGAGACTGATCTAACTAAACAGTACAGTTCCAGCCCAGCCATGGTGCTGGGAAAATCCAGTCATTGGCACCACCCCAAATGGACAACCTCCCCGCCCCCAGCCTGGCAAACCCCTCATCCTGCAAGCCACTCCCAATGCTGGTTTCACCAGCATTTGTTGAATGCAAGGAGCTGAGGAAGTAAATTGGGGTGGGTGTGGGAAGAGGGATGGGTGGTTGGTTTTCTGGGAGGGTTGTTAGTTTAGGCTTGTCAAGATCAGAGGGCAAAACATAGCCCCTGTTCCCAGGGGGAAGAGCCCCTCCCATCTCCCCCCAGCCACCCCATAGATTCCATGAGCCCTTCTGATCTTGCCAAACCCTCCCAGACTCTACCCCCCCCTCCCCCCTGTGGACCCCACTTGCTCCCCTGATCTCTCCCAAGGACCCCCTGATCTCTCCAGGCCCCCACCCCTGCTAGTCCCCAGCCCCCATCCTGACTTACCTTAGATCAGGTAGCCATTTTTAACTTGATCTATCCTTCCCCTAATCTCCCTGGATGTCTGTGCATAGCCTCAGATAATTTCATCATGGGTATAAGTGAGCAGAATATTTGCCCTGTGATGTTTACATATATGCATAATGGATTCCTTCTACTGATAAAAGCACTTTGAAGAAGTTACTGAGAAGTTTCTTCTCAGTTTTAAACAATAGCCCTGGCTCTGTGCATCTATGCTGTGAGTGCCCATTTTTTAACTCCCAATCAGTTATCTGAAAGGTGACAGACTAACAACCCCAGGTACAAGACCTGAACTAAAATCATGAAAACTTTTTCAGATAGATAACTAAACCACAGCCAGATCCAGACATCTCTATGTCTCAATACCACTAAACTTGGATGGATTACAAGTAGCAGCATAGAAGTACAGGGGTCTTCAACATATTGCCAATCAACCAATATTCATCACTAAAGAAACCCTTATATAATTCAAATGGTCTTTTTCTTCTCCATGTTGGCCACATAGTTAATAAGCTACTGGCCTGTGGGGAAAGGCTCTTGGACTCAGGAGACCATGGTTATACTCCTAGCTCTGCCACTGACTGACCTGCTGTGTGACCTAGGCCAGGCCTAAGTCACGTACACCTGCTTTCCTTTTCCAACTGTGTTCTGTGTTTAGATAGGTGGCTCTTTGTGGCAGTGTCTGTCTCATACCAAAAAAGGTTTCCAGTCTAAGTTGGGCCTTGAGGTACAAATGTAATATAAATAACAAATGAAAGCTTTTCTGCTTCAGGGCCATGTGCTTTCCCATCTCGCACTTATCAGATGCACGATTTGTGCTTGTTTTTTTTTCGTAGATCTGTTGAGTCACTCCAGGACCATAAGCTGTTCCACAATGTCCCGTTGTTATTGGCTGACTTGCTGCTTAGAACAATTAGTTGTCTGCCCTCTCTTAATCTTCAAAAGGAATATTTAATACAGTTTGCCTAAGGCCTTGCCAGGCGCTGAAGTGGCTAACTATAACGTATGGTAGCCTTAACAGCATTGTTTCTGAGTTAGTTGAGCCCTTTATCATGTAAAAACCCATCTTCCCAACAAAACAATTAAAATCCACCTCATAGAAGGCTTTTGGGGAGTAGAAACAGGGAAAAACATGAAATGCAAGGTTTGTTTTGTGCTTTTTCAAGACTAAATGTATTAAGTTCTGTTGTTGTAGGCTAAATATCTGTTCAGATCCAGTCATTTTGTCCTTCTCTGAGCAAGAGATTTTTTTCCCTATTCATGCATGACTGTGCCTGCATTTCCATTTCACGCTCTTCTGTTCTTCTCATGCTGTGTTACACATGTTTATTTTATAACCTTGAGCATCAAATGCACTTTGATTGCTCCACAAAACTTCAAAATGAACATTTGAAATAAATGTTCACAGATTTTTATTTTTTCCTCACTGCATTCCCTTGTGCTTTGAGACTCTCCACTGTGTATTAGTTGAACATCTGAGGTATGATTCTTCTCTGCTAGGAGCCAATGGAGGTCTTGTTAACTGATTTCAGGAGTAGCAAAATTAAGCAATCTACATTTTAATTCTGAGACATCTCAGACTTCAAAACCATTGCCATAAGAAGTTTCCTGTTCTAGAATGCTAGTTAGATTTTTAATCACAAAGATTTGTTCAAATATAAGGTTATTCGTCCACTGTTATCCAAGGTGTCATGAATACATATTTTTCTTGAAGAGTTTTCATTTTAACCATATAAAATATTAATTTAAATATTTTGCTAAACTTATATTAAGTGTTTTTTCTCTGCAGAGGTATAGAGCTCAATGCTTTTCTTATTAAGGTGATAGACCTTGTGTCTGCTGAATGTCTCTGCAGCTATATAGATATAGATGTATATTAAATCAAGACTTACTTATTGTAAAGTACAATGTCTGGCAGCCAAATATGTTTAGCAGGTATCCTTAGCTTATTTATGTCTTCGTAGTCAGAAGGTGTCCATGCCAAACGATAGTCAGTCCATTCCTAAAGGAAGAATCACACAATGGTGATGTCAATTATTTTTCGGCCAGTTGGGACCTACTGATAGCAAGAAAACAGCATGTTAACAGATTGAGGTAGCATTGCTTTGGGAAGGTTACCTGTTTTAGCCAGACATTTGTGGTCATGATCTGTTCACGTTCATTCTAAAGACAAAGAAAATAATTTATAAAGGCTTCAGTATAAAAGTTACTCTTATTATTCAGATGTATTCATTGGGCTTTCAAGACTAGTTCTAACTCCTGGGAGCTTACATTGATTTAATACATATGTTAATCCAACCTTTTATAAGTGTAGAAATCTTTCTGTGTCTACTGGTATATCACTAAGATGCACAACTCTATCACTGTATTATAGTAATTACATAAAATGTGACATGCTGTTTCATACCACTATACAGTTCCTTTCAAACATATAAAATTATAAATGGGGAATCATCATCCTTTGGGGGTGGTTCTGGTGGGTTCCTGCAGGGATCTGTTTGTAGCCCTATGTTGTTCAATATTTCTATCAACAATTTGGAAGAAAAATAAAGTAATAGCTGGTAACATTTGCAGTTGACATAAGATTGATGGAGGATGTGTAAGTTATACAAAATGATTTGTATTAAAGTTGGAGTCCTGATGTCTTATAAACTCTGGCATATTCATGAGACTTAGAAAAATCTTAGCAGCAAAACTAATTATTGCATTATTTCAACAACGTCAAAAAATACCTGCCCTGATGATCCAGAAACAACAACAACCTTAACTATATGGCTGATGGAAAAAATAAGAAGCCTGAGGGAAGACCAGAATTACCCTTTTGGAATACTGAAGTCTGTGCAAAACCACCAAGGTATAGCCACTATCCAATAGCTGACCCCCTAAATATTGTCCTATATAAAAATGATGTGAAGTAACATCCAGATTCTAAAGAACTCTTAAAAATCTATCATTCCTTTGCTGATTTTTTAAAAAAGTCACCAAATTTGCATAGTCAGGGACAAAAAATATCAGACCTGCTTTTGGCTTATCAGATGCAATTAAATACCAGATCTGGATGCCAGAGCTCATTTCTGAGGGTCTTATTAGTGATGCTTGTACACCACAAGGACAGGTAACAAAATGGCACCCTGTCTGTTTAGTTAGTATGATGTTTATGGGGATAATTGTCTGAAATAGAAAGCAATATTCACCAAATGGAAAAATCAAGAGATTTTTAGATGTGAAATTCTATTTCCAAGCTGAAGGATATTCCAAGCAGTAAAGAGTAACAAAAATGAACATGCAGGAGGCTGTCTTTGGATTATAGATTCTTATACCCCTCGTTTGCTGGCTCAAATCCAGCCCAAGTAAATAGTGACTAATAGTTGATGATGCTGTGCTGTCTAAAATAAGTCTCAGTATGGTTCTTTAAAGCCAGTACATGGCTGTAATGTACACTGTGGAGGGCAGTCTCAACAAGAAGGCAGAGCTCTAATGGACATGAAATCTTGCTGGGTCTTTTACTTCTAGAAAGGGTTCTTCCATGTGGGTTGAGGCTCATTAGTGGAAGCTTGCCTTCCTGGGTCAACTGTACCTGTCTGGTACATAAACAGAGGTTTTCATAGCTCGGCACCTTGGGCCAGCTCTAAATCCACAGACAAACCTTGTAGAAATAGGGGAGTGTCCTTTGTAAATCAATCTAGCTACTTTGGAATGATATCTCTCAAATTGCATTGATTGTCATCTTGTGAGTTGGCTTGGCAGCTAGGGTAAAAAGAGTGCATGGAACAGAGGGACGGAAAGGAAATTGCATTATCCTTAGATGTTGCCAGAGACCTGCAGGGCAACTGCAGAAAGCAGAGCTGCTTTTGAGATAAGATGCCTGTAAAAGTCCAAAAATATAAAGATAAACTAAACAAATTAAGATATATAATATTATTCTTATAAATATTGCCAAGTGGATTTTAAGTTCCCAGACATCGTCCTGGTGTGGGACTTGTCTCAGTAGTTGTTCTATTTATCTCTACAAATTGGCTATATTATGCAAGTTCCTAGAATTCATATAAGCATACATTAAACATTATAATTTCCTTATTTTTCTTACTCAATCTTCCTTTTATCATCTCTTTATCATGCAGCTGGGAAATCAGCCTACCCCTTCCCTTGTCCTGAGCCTGAGTTGGTGCTGCATTAGTCAGTTGGTCTAGTGTTCTCTCATTTCACCTGGATCTTTCTCATAGGGAGATGCTAGATGAGGTGAGGCTGATTGGATGAGGTGAAGTGAGCCTGGATCCTCTTTTTTCCCCTTTCTTAAATATGGGCAGTATGTTTGCCCTTTTCCAATCATCTGGGACCTCTCCTGATAGCTATGAGTTTTCAAAGATGATGGCCAATGGCTCTGCAATCTCATCAGCCAAATTCCTTAGCACCTGTAGGTGCAACCCATCCAGCCCCATGGACTTGTCTTCGTCCAGCTCTTCTAAATAGTTCCCTACAGTACTTTGTTCTTTCATGAAGTCTACCTATGAGCAGTAGCAGATCCTCCCTTTGCTCTGTTCCCTAAGACCAGCCCTATATTGAGAAAAAAGCATGTTTCAATGTGTTAACAGGTCAAAGGAAATGCTAGGCTCTCCCTTTAAGGTTTACCTCAATCACTGAACACAGGCTTAATCTACACCTGGCTTCTTTGCATCAGAATTTTAACATTTTAACAGTGTAAATGTGGCCTTAGTGTTAATGTACACAAAAAGCTTTTTAACTTCAGGTTAATCATTGTGAATTGATTTGAATCAGCTAATGTATATATACATACTACTCTGGACACTCTTGTGCTTGTAGTTTGCTTTTTGGGTTCAAGGAACAAGCGTTTGTAGAGCGTTCAGGCTGGTACGTTCCAATGTATTAGCTAGCTCAGGTTTACCGACAATCACTTCTCTTTTGTTTTAATTTAGACTATGCCTAAAGGAGTAGGGTAAGAAAGGAGCAGGCCTAAATGCTATCTGGAGATGTTTGAGGATGTACACACTGTCTGAAATAGGGATTGATATAGACCTAAGTGATTCATCCTGGATCACAGCAAGACTTGGAGCATTTGGCTGGCTCTCTGATACTCAGACTATTCAGTCTTATTTTCTGACTGTAAACAGAAATGTGATTCACTGTTACTTATGCATTCTATGAAAATTCTCCTCTGGTGTAAATCACTGCAGCTTTTTTCAAGTTGGTGAAATTCTAGTAGCTATAATCATCTGGGATCAGGCTTTTTGTTTTTTCTGTATTTTAAAATCTAGCCATCAATAAATCTCCTTTTGCCTGACTGAAAGTTATAGTGATATATTCCAAATATTGACTGATGCACGAGTAGACATTAAGGCTAGATACAGACATTACACTTCTACTGGTATAAGTGAACAGAAACTGGTCTATACTCATAACAGAACAGAAGATCAGCACACACAGACTGGTTTAAAAATGGCAGAACCCAGTCTAAGATTTTTTCCCTCCCCCTTCCACCCCCACAAAGGACAAATGTGTGTTCGGTTCACTACTGATCTAAACTATGCCGCTTACAGAAGACAGCGTAACTTAGATTAATTCTGCCTTGGGCTTTTTGAATATCTGTACCTAGCCTAAAACACATGTGTGTTCTGACCATTGATAATTATTATGTATATAGAGGCCTAGTGGTACTAAGAATATATATATTGTTTACACAGTGTTGTGTAACAATAGTAAAATATGAAAATGTGCAGCCTATTTAAACTTACCACGCTGATTAGCTGTGCCAAAGAAACTTGTAGCTCTATAGATACCAACTGGGAGGAGTTGATTGCTGGGCGAATTAACTTATTATACCTCTCAGAGCTTAATAGGTGGTTCATTAGCTTCTCTTCAGCATCTGCTGCCTTGCTTCCTGTAAAACAAAACAGAACAAGACCACAGAATTGGGATGGAATTAGATTATGCCGGGAGCACGGCAGCACAGAAATCCTATTCAAATGAAATAATGAGGACCCTTGATTTTTGAAGGACCCTAATTTTTAATGTGAAGCAAAAGGGATGTTGGTTTATTGTGCACCTTTTGTGTGAAATTCCCTCTGGCTGAAGTCAGGGTATAAATCAAGGCATATTAGCCTTTTGTTTTTCACACTGAAACCAGAAACCCTTTCTTTTTTAGTGCTGTATCAAGATGAAGAGGCACTCCAGGTGGTGTGGTATAAACTAGAAACTGGAAGCAGACTTAGAAGTAGATTTTCAAAGATTTAAAAGGAAAGCAGGTGCTTACCTTCCATTTGTGTCTTTGAAAATCTTCTTACCTTGTCATGGCAGCTGAAAGAAGAATTCCAAGCACTTGTATAATACTATAGTCTGATCTGTGAAGGGGGGAGGCCTGGGAATAAATTGTGAAAGATTTTTTTTTTAAATGGTTAGAGAACTTGCTCACAGCCAACACAATTTCCAAGTGTTTTACTGGAGGCACAAATTCAAATGGAGGCCTTCTGGAAACAACAACTGAGAGTTATGGACTAGTCACACTGTTAACACTTAAGTTTGAGGATTTATGTGACTTGCCAATATAGTGTCTGATGTATCCCAGGTTATCAAGAAACACAGATCATTTCTCACCAAGTGAAATAGTTTTAGGCACAGAACCACCTATCATTTTACTCCTGCTTGTGTTGTTCAAGTCTCCACCACTGCCTTTTGCAAACTATTGTTGATTACATTATAGAAAATTAAAGGGTAAATTTTGTTTGTCTAAGTTACTCTATTGTATATCTATAGTAAATCTAATGACTCCATTGAAGTAACTTAGAACAGATTTGGTCCTAAATGTTCAGAGATGCCAGTGCTTCCCCTCAAGAATAAAATTCCTTTACAGGAGACAGGAGATTCACATTAGGTACAAATTTACAGGAGACAGGAAATTCATGTTAGGTACAAATTCCATGCCTGGCTAATAATAGCAAATATAAAGCATTTGCACTAACTTGGTGAGATACCATTGACCAATGTAAAAGGAGTCACTGTAGACTGACATTGATGTGAATGGGAACAGATTCTGGAGAGAGAAATAGCAGTAATATGTTTTCCTCTTCCAAATGAGGCAGCTCTGAATGTAGGTAACATTTTCTCCACTTACCCCCTTTATGCCCATTTTCCCAATACTCATAAATCCTAGTCATTGCAAAACAGTTATATGAAGTAAAAAAAGTAGGTGTTACAGGTATTTTGCATTTGGGGTGTGTTAAGTCAACATGGCTTTATACATAGTTGTCTACCATAAGACCCAGTGATGGGCAGACACAAATTATTTGTATCACACAAACTTCCAAAGGTTTCTGTGAATCTCTGAATTGATACCTGGCCTGAATCTGAATGAAGCTAGAGATCTCTTGGGAATATACATCTTCATGAGCTTTCTATATCTGGGTTTTATCAAGCTTTAAAAATCTTGTTGCTTCTGCTTTCATTGAAACCAAAAAGTGGGAAGACATAGCAAAAAGTAGGAGCTAGACAACCAAACTTCCTCACTTTTGTGAAGGTGCTGTTCAGATTTTGAGGAAGATTTTGTGCCTCCAGTAAATGCTAGGTTTTCTTGATTTCTATTATGAACCAGTATATAGCATGGTACTGACAACATAATTTGTACAGTGCATTATAGAAGTGTACACGCATCCCATGTACTTTACACTTCAACACATGCTTACAGAGCCTCTCATTTTCAGTTAACTTGCTGACATTTTCCATGAATAAAGATTAAACAATTGCTAAGTTGCTTGTGCTATGTTAGAAGAGAAAGCTGAACAAATGCCAAGTTTTCACACTGTACATTTTTAATTGTGCAAAGAGATTTTTGTAAAATTTCATAACAGAGAAAGGAGAAGAAATGTCACATTCTGCACTCACCATCTTTTTTTTTTCAGCAAAAAACATTATCCTTCCTAGACAGATTGGTATGACCCCTAGGAGGAAAATAATCTTTTTTTAGGGTAGTGTTCTTTCCATGACTGGGAGCCTGTTTTACCAACCTGATGGGCTATGGTAGAGTGATGCACAATATCCTTTCAGCCTACAGTGGCTTTGTAATCTCAAGCATTGCAGTTCTCAGCAGCTGTTGGTGTAGCCAGAAATGTTCAGATAGGCTACAGTGTACTTTCCATGAGATTTTAAAAATATACATTTTTGTTTTGTTTTGTCCAGCAAATAGGACTCTTTTACAGGGTTCTAAGAAAAAGAAAGTTTTCTCTGAATTTAAGGAGAGGAAGAATAGCAGAATTACCTTGTAACTCCTTAGAAGATAGTGTATTTCTAGTACTGTAAGGCATAGGCAGTGGAAGGCCGGGACTAACGGGGCTTAGCCCCACCCAACTTTTTGCAGTGGCTGGCAACAGAAGCAGCACCACAGCACTGCCGTCCCACAGCACCTGTCACTGCTTGGCACAGCCACTCCTCTGCCGTTGCGTACAGCACCAGCACATGCCAGCCCTACAATAGCCCTGCAGGAGGGAGGGGCGGGGGTCAGACAGGGCTCAGCCCCCTCCCAAATAATATTTCCCTCCACTGCTTATGCTGTAAATGAGATGAAAATGTGGGCATTTAAATTAGGAATACCAGTTTACATTTGGATCCTGAAATTAACACTTAAACTGGACACTAGAGATGCTGACTCAAGGGGCCAATAGCAGGACAGATATCACTTCTAAGTGCTTTACATCCATGCCCTGACAGAAGTGCACAGTTGTAGAGTGCTTTAAAAGTGCCCCATCATGTGACACATTAATGCTCATGCAATGAAGGTTCAGCTGAAGGTCTTTCAAAGTGGTGCACCTTCATTTAACTTTTGTCTGTCCCTACCCTAATAGGGGTGGGGTTGGTGCAACCCAGCCCTGCCCCCTGTGCTAGCTACAGGAAGGGACAGGGAAGTAGCTACTGACTGGGGCTTGTCCAGCCTGATCTGGGGGGGCTGAGTGGACTGGAACCCCCTCTTGGGGGTGGGGGGAAGCTCCAATCCACCCGCCCCACCCACTCCAGCTCAGGCCAGGCAAACCCCAGGCTAGAGTTCCCTTCACTCCTTTCTCCCCCCTCCCATCCTACAGACAGCACTGGAGCTGAGGTGGTGGTGGGTGCTAGGGGAGAGAGGTTGCAGACAGGCAGCTCCTCCTGCATCAGCTCCAAAGTGGAGCTCAGTTCACCTTCCCAGCCCCCACACCCAACAGTGGACATTTGTTCAGTTGGTGGGGCAGCTTTAACTCATGGTGCTTTCTGTGAACATGAGTTAGAGCAGGGAGCTGCACATCTGTCAGTGTCCTAGAGCAGTGCTTCTCAAACTATCTGATGTGGCGGACCAGCAATTTTTTTTCCAGTGGGCCAGGGACCAGTGCCCGGTTCAGCCAATGGCAGCAACTGCGTGTAACAGCACTACACAAATGCGCGACCGGCTGTTTCTTTCTCTTTCCTCACCTTGCACGACATGACGTCACCTGGAGTGTTGGAACGTACAAACTGTGGCGCTATGACATACCAGTGTTATGCCTCTGAAAATATATTTCTTTCTTTCCTGGCAACTCGATGCGGACCGGCGAATATATTTCTTTCTTTCCTGGCAACTCGCTGTGGACTGGCGACCGGTGGCTCGCAGACTGGCACCAGTCTGCGGACCACCACTTTGAGAAGCACTGTCCTAGAGTTTAGTACTACAGAGCCTGTGAGCCCCCAAATGTAAGTGCTGACAGCATATCCTTTCTCGTAATATTTTTATTGAGCCCACAGCATGAAGAGCAGAGGGTTCTGAAATGAGAATGACACCCAACACATTTGCTAGCACTTCCCTCTGTGTAGGCGGGCTCCTTTAGGATTGACTTTACAAACAAGAGATTTCCTTGAAAACACTGTAATTTAACCTCTTGCTTGATTAAGACCTAGAAAGGCCTGACCTCCTCAAAGGATTCTTTGTTAAATTGATCACTTAAAGTATGTTCTGTGCTCTCTAGATCTGAAAGGCTCTCAGGTGTGATGGATTTGTTCATGGCAAGAACTTACAAAGAAGCAGCAATCAGGTAGGAAAAAGTATTTATTTTCTCTCTCTCACAATATTCATTTCCACAGGAATTCATAATATGAGGATAACAGAGTTTAAAGCTTTTCCAGTCAAAACTAATGTAAATGATAACATTTTGAGCTGGGAGTGTATTCCTGCTTGTCTCAGGCTCAATTAAAGCAGTGGCGCAATTGAAGGCAACCACTCTCTAGTCTCCCAAAATGTTTGGTGGAAAACCTACAATAAAAATAATTAGTGCACAGCAGATCATCCATCCATCGCTCCAGTGCCTGTTGTGCCAACCGTCAGGTTTACAGTGATGAGGTGTGAAATTGTTCTCCTCTAGAAAGTGTGGATCTTCCACTGCTTTTCCTGTCTCCTGTGAAGGAAGGAGAAGCATAAGGAATTATGGCTATACCATTCCATTGTAAAGACATATCTTCCTTGTCTATGCTGTTCTTACACTTGACATAAATTATTTGGGGACAAGCACACAATTTTTTTCTTGTTGAAGTGATGAGCCTTGACTATTTCTGTTTCTCTCTTTAAGGGCTGAGTTGCATGCTCTAGCAATCAATTTCTTTCTGGAAAGACAAAGAATAGTAATAGAATAGTAAGGCTGATGATGAAGTGTTGCATTTGTATCATGCATTTCAACTGAGTAGAACTCCCAAAAAACCTAAATGAGAACCAGATACACCTAAGGCAGTAGAGGCAGAGCCTACCTGAACATGCATGCACTACCATGTTATGGTGGCCACACAACTACTACTTCTGGTTCACATAAACTTGTAGAGCAGCATTGTACACTGAGAGGTAGAGATATGCCCTATATCAGTTTCTCAACCTGTGATATGTGTACCCCTGGTGGT